CTTCATCAGCCTCGGCTAGCGAACACGATGATAGTTTGGTGTCACCCACAGAAGCAGATGGACAAGGAGAACTGTCAGCTCAGCCTGGGTCTGTAAGCCGTAGACGTAGTGGCTGTAATAGTGTGGAAGAAAAACGAAAGATAAGGAAGGAGCGGAAAAAGCGTAAGAAACGACGCATGGAGGGGCCCACAAACAAGATATTAAGGGAAGATATAAAACGGTTGGGAGAGCAATTGAATGCTGAGTTTAAACTGCGACAGAAGGCGGAGCTAAGTGTGATAGCTCAAAGAAACAGAGCTAGGACATATTGGGAATGCTGGATATGGGAACTAGAAAAGTGGCGCGAGGCTATGAATACCCTTTGTCGGCAACGTGTACGCACATCACCAACTGTGGATAAAGCTGTAACTATAGAAGAAAAATTGACCCCTCCATGTTGCATGATCCTGTCATTGATGGCAAAGAGCAGGTTGGGCGTGGGAGTTTTTGGAATTGTCAGGGCACAATGCTTCGTGGTATTCTTGTTACCGTTAAGGAGTTTCTAAAAGCTGACGTTACCTTGATTCTCAACAGAATATGCCACCCATACCTCCCACTTCTAATTGGGATGTGCACAAAGCAACTGCGTCATATTTGGGTTCATCTTTGTGCTCAGCTACTAGAAGCCATGAAATATCTTCACGAGGAAGCTAATATTTTGCATAATGATATAAAGTCAAACAATGTCTTAGTTGCCCAGTCAAATGGAGACCAGTTCCATTACCAAGTGGTTCTAATAGACTTTGGGAAAGCTACAAGTATTGAAGAGAGCAAGCGCTACCATCTCACTGGGATTGAAAAGATCGAAATTTTCCTCATAATTATTGGTGAAACGAAGCAAAGTGAATTTAGTCATTTGGAAAACTTTTGTTTCGTGTTTCCAACCAAGGAGTCATTAATCTTATACATCTCAGAAAAGAAGAATATTTGTAAATTTTGCAGAGCGGTGTGTGCCCCCTAGATATTATCACCGTCCGCATGGAATGGATATTCAAAAACTTACTAGAATAACTTACTAGAATAACTTGTATTATGCAAAGGTTTTGTGCTATGATATTTGAAGCTCATCCAGCCATTCCATATAACGCTCCCCCCTTTTGCGCATGCGCGCCGATATCCGCGTGACCTACAAAGAAGCGGCCGGCAGCGCAATGCAGTCAGGAGCTTTTAACAGTCGCGGCTTGTCCCTTACTTCTCGGCGTGACTCTCCGCCTTCCACTCCCCTTGGCCAAGGAAATGCATGGAAGCAGCCCCTCCTCAATCTCTAGTGCTGGCTCCGAAATAGCCGGTATCAGTGCGAAGCTAGATCAAGTTCTAGCCGCCTTTTCGGGCCAGAGCCAGCTGCTTGCAGAAACCAAACAAGAAGGTTAGACCTATGTTGTTCATAAGATGGTTTTTGGGAGAATATTTTTAATCAAAGGGAGCAGCTGGTTGTACTAAGTGCCGAGCTAAAGGAGCTAAAGGAAACAGTCACAACTTTGAAACAGGGAAGTATACTCTCCCAGTCAAGCAAAAGAATCCCACCTTCTCTATCAGTAAGCATGTGCCGTGTATGCAGTATGGCCTTGCACAATCTCCTGTGTAGGTTGCGGTCAAGGCAGTACACGACAAAGCTCCTGATGAGATGCAGTTCGATGGCTCAAAACAGTAGGTTCATAGAAAGTACTGTGTTACGAACAGGTATTCATGTGAGAGGAATCAAGTTGTAAAGACATTCTCCTTCATGGCATAAAAGAAAACTTTTCAAGTGCTCATTCTCCAAGAAAATTGCGAAGTAATGATCTGTTTTGTATGTATGTATGTTTACATGTGACTATTTGGTCGTCAAGATGTCCCATCTTTTGACGACACCTGTCAAGATGTCTCATCTTTAGGCAGGGAGAGTCTGTGTCTTGATGTGTACATGTATGTGTGTGCATGTGTACGTCTGACTCTTTGGTCATCGACACCTGTCAAGATGTCTCATCTTTAGGCATGTGTCTTGTGTACATGTATGTGTGTGCATGTGTGCGTATGGTTCGCTGGTCGTCAAGATGTCCCATCTTTTGGCGACACCTGTCAAGATGTCTCATCTTTAGGCAGGGAGAGTCTGTGTCTTGTGTGCATGTGTACGTATGGCTCGCTGGTTGTCAAGATGTCCCATCTTTTGGCGACACCTGTCAAGATGTCTCATCTTTAGGCAGGGAGAGTGTGTACCTGATGTGTACACGTATGTGTGTGCATGTGTACGTGTGACTCTTTGGTCGTGAAGATGTCCCATCTTTTGGTGACACCTGTCAAGATGTCTCATCTTTAGGCAGGGAGAGTCTGTGTCTTGTGTACATGTATGTGTGTGCACGTGTACGTGTGACTCTTTGTTCGTGAAGATGTCCCATCTTTTGGTGACACCTGTCAAGATGTCTCATCTTTAGGCAAGGAGAGTCTGTGTCTTGTGTACATGTATGTGTGTGCACGTGTACGTGTGACTCTTTGGTCGTCAAGATGTCCCATCTTTTGACGACACCTGTCAAGATGTCTCATCTTTAGGCAGGGAGAGTCTGTGTCTTGATGTGTACATGTATGTGTGTGCATGTGTACGTGTGACTCTTTGGTCATCGACACCTGTCAAGATGTCTCATCTTTAGGCATGTGTCTTGTGTACATGTATGTGTGTGCATGTGTACGTATGGCTCGCTGGTTGTCATGATGTCCCATCTTTTGGCGACACCTGTCAAGATGTCTCATCTTTAGGCAGGGAGAGTGTGTACCTGATGTGTACACGTATGTGTGTGCATGTGTACGTGTGACTCTTTGGTCGTGAAGATGTCCCATCTTTTGGTGACACCTGTCAAGATGTCTCATCTTTAGGCAGGGAGAGTCTGTGTCTTGTGTACATGTATGTGTGTGCACGTGTACGTGTGACTCTTTGGTCGTGAAGATGTCCCATCTTTTGGTGACATCTGTCAAGATGTCTCATCTTTAGGCAAGGAGAGTCTGTGTCTTGTGTACATGTATGTGTGTGCACGTGTACGTGTGACTCTTTGGTCGTCAAGATGTCCCATCTTTAGGCAGGGAGAGTGTTTGCCATAATAATTAATTTTTGTGCATGTGTGGGGATTACACATGGTTTTTTGGCCATAATTTCACCAGGAGTGTCCATCGCTACTATGAAAGCAGGCGCCGTCTTTTTAATGATATTCAACCTGGAAGGCTTCATATTGCAAGAGAGACTATAAAGAAGTCGAGGAACAAGGCACACAGAAAGCTGGTATAAGATTGTGTGTTGTATCCTCCCTTTTAGTTATATATTAATTCTTTATCGTAGCTTTATGAAAGGAGGAAGCGGGTATTGAAAAAGGAGAAAAAGCGAGAACGATGGACGGCAATTGATTTCAAATACATGACAGAGGAAAGTGATGGAGAGGAGCAAGTCAGGCAGCATAAACTTCCCTGGAGGTCGGAAGGTAGGTTAGTTGTATTTGCTGTGAGTGCTGTACTGTATATACCCACTAATGGATTCTCCGTTCTCTACAGTGCTGAATCGTCTTGTGAAAAAGTTAGATGCAAGGATAGAGAAGAACGAGAAGGCTGGGGGTTTTAAATCAAAAGATAAACTTCAATCATGTTTGTCTCTGCTGGAGCCACCGCCAGATGCTCCTGTCCAGCAGTCTTAGACTTGCCATTACCTGCATGTGTTTGAACAGATTGTTAACGCATGCGCAAGGAAGATATCACTATGAAAATATAATATGAAAACGGGTATACTGTACGGTGTTGTAACGGAACTCTCCGCACGGAGGTACGCCAAAATTGTCCCTTTACGTATACAAACGGTACCCGTACCGGTGTACCACGGAGCGCCGTATACATCCCGCGCTACCCGTTGTCACGGAAACCGTCATTCGTTAGTACGGGAACCGTGCTACCATCACGTTTTCCCTGTGAGTTTGGCTTCAGTCTTTTCTACATGTGCAGTCAGTATTTCAAGAGCTATAACATCTCCCCTCCTCTCTCTTTCTACGTTGCTGGAGCAGGACAGCGATGGAATCACTTACGGAACTCGGCTTGAAACCCCCTGATCATGTGGTGCTAGACGATCATAGAAATGTTCTCTTTTTCTCTCTTATATTCCACACTGACTGTGTTGGTTAGTTATTGTTGTAGATACATACTACTGTTTGCAAATAATATAAGGCAAGCAACACAGGTGAATTCAATGAAAAAGAGCTTCCCTGGGTGTGATTCAAAACTACAACACTCTGCAGTCCAGGCAGAGAGCTTTACCCTTTGTGAAAGTCATTACTATTAATATTTGTGATACTCTCTTGCCAAGTGGAGGGGGGTGGGAGGGAGAGCATTGCTAGCCGAAGGGAGGGGAGGGGTACGCGGAGGGGAGGGGAGTGGGTTGGAGCATTGCTAGCCGAGGGGAAGGGAGTAGGTTGGGGCATTGCTGGCCAAGGGGAAGGGAGTGGGTTGGAGCATTGCTAGCCTATCTTTGCCTTCTCTCTCCTTACTCATTTCCCCCCTTCTTTCTCTTCTACCGATGCTGAGAGAGGCAAAACTTGTTAGGTTTTGCAGGACCTATTGCCCCTCGTGTATCACAAGCTGCTCAACATTGCTACTGGTGAGCTACAAAATTTCATTATACATTATACTTTTCATCAAAATCTCCTAAGGACTGTCTGTTAGTGTTATATTTTTGTTCTCTTGTGCATGGTTTTTTTTGTAAGCCAGTGTCGTGATATCTACAGCTTCAAAGAAGACACTTCTGCACCACTCTATATTTAGTACATATAATTTTTTTTACATATACTCACTGACATCATAGCATATAAATGCAAGTAATTTCATGTCCATATTCTGCAGGTTCCTTTTTTCCCCTTTCTGACTGATGATATACGGAGGCTTGTGTAATCCTAACTACTCGACATTGAAAGGCTAAGCTAAAACGAGGTACATGTATGCTACAATTTACCAATGTATACCACACACTACTGCCATATCTTGCATTTAAGGTATGCAGGGATAGTTTCCCTCATCAGTACAGATAATATTGTATGCACAGTTTTGGTCTTGCCGTTGGCCAGTTCCTACCACACGAAGTAGGCATTCTCATGTCGCAAAGAACACCTGACTCCCGCTCCATGCTCTGATATTATTGTTGTTGATAAACTGATTAGTGTCCTGATTACTGAGGTGCCCTGCTCTCAGGTGTCCTGATTAGTGAAATGTCCTGCTCTCTGGTGTCCTGATTACTGAGGTGTCCTGATTAGTGGGGTGTCCTGCTCTCAGGTGTCCTTGTTAGTGAAGTGTCCTGCTCTCAGGTGCCCTGATTACTGAGGTGTCCTGATTAGTGGGGTGTCCTGCTCTAAGCTGTCCTGATTACTGAGGTGTCCTGATTAGTGGGGTGTCCTGCTTTCTAGTCCTGATTAGTGAGGTGTCCTGCTCTCAGGTGTCCTTTTCCGGCCCTTCACATATCTGACTTTTTGCATCTCTGTTCTGCACATGTGCAATTTGCCTCTAATGTAACTGGCACGCAAATTTTCGTGCACACTACGCGAGCATCGTGTTCAATGCCACCAAGTATATACTGTACTTGTCATTCATGACTTACAAACACAACAGATGATGTGGCAGGACTTTCTCTATGTAAGTATGCGCTGGTATATACCTGTATGTTACATAGCTGGGTAAGCCTTACCTATGTACTTGTCCTGTACGAAGTACTACAACTTTTTTTCAGTGCAATCTCAAAGCACTTGTCCTTCCGCCAAAGTTCTTGCTAAAATGTTAGGACACTCAGGACAACTCACTCGTTAGGACACTTTAGTGTTGTTCTCAGAAGAAAGTGTCCTTATTGGTGAACGCAGTAATGGTTTACTTGGTTTGTCCTTCCGGCTGTCCGACTGTTACCATGTTTTCTGCCACCTCGTGTTATGTAAGTAACGATGTCTACGATATGAAAAGAAATAAACGCAACATTCCGCAGGAATATGGTGCTCCACTTAGTGGGACGCCGGTGTAAATTACAGCAACTGTGGAATATCGTAATCTATGTGCGTAAAGTAGGAATTCCTCGCGTACGCAGAGCCTGCCGAAGCGGGGGACAACAGCGGAATGGTAGGTGGAACGGCGGAGGTGCACACTTTATATGTATGTACGTACTATCACATGCGGTACGTTCTGGTCATTGAAAATAGCGAACGACGTCTCTCTATGTATGCCAGGGAACGTATTCGGCAGTTGCTGGCGGAAGGGTATACCTGTAGTCAAGTTGTGACACAGGAAGGCATTCGAACTTGTCGTCAGACGGTGTGGCGTCTGGAAGGTCACTTCAAGGTGCACGGGACCATAACACCGCTGCCTAAATCTGGCAAACCGACCAAGCTTACCGATGTAGCTCCGCAGAAAATCGATGATGCAGGATGATGAAACCACGGCCAGAGAGTTGGTAACTGCCTTACTGGGATCTGGAGTTTCGGTGTCGTTATCTACTGCGCTGAAAGGGTGTCGTTTACTTGGCTGGACATGTCGTGGCACGGCCTACTGCAAACTCATCCACGCAGAGAACCGAAATAAACCGCTTGACTGGGCGCAGGAACACCTAGGTGATGAATTTCACGATGTTATATGGACCGATGAAACCTCGGTTCAAATGGAAACCCACCACCGCTTTTGCTGCAGGAAGGAAGGTAAAAAACCGCAGTACAAACCACACCCAGTAAAATTACATGTCTGGGCTGGTATAAGCTGGAACGGAGCTACCAATGCCTGCATGTTTTGTGACGCACGCACTTCGGTGCTATGACAGGGGTTCAGTACTGGGCAACACACACATCTAGCTGGGAGAATGGTCTACCTTATATACGGTGTGTGGTGACTGGGCTTGTGAGTGAGGTGATAACAGAGGTAGTCTGTGTGCTAGCTAAGGGCAATACAACAAGGTGGAGATGTGCAAACAGAGTCTCTCTGACTGTGTCCGTGTTACATGACTCTCCCCTCCTCTTCAGAGACCATCCCGGTCTTAATAGGTGTCAATTAGTCTGTCAGGGGGATGGCGATGTCTTTGCGGGTAGCGTCTCGGGGGTGGCTGGTCTTGCAGCGGTCCTGGCTCCTCGCAATCTGAGTTGACCTCTAATGAAGTTCCTATCGGAGGTCTTTCTGCGGAGTGGTTTTCAGTGTCCATGTGCACAGGTGAGGTATGCCTCATGTCTGGTCGATATGGCTTCAGGCGGTTAAATGAACCACCTGCTCCTTGCCATCCTGGAGGGACACGATCCTGTAGGTGCAGTCGTGGAGTCGAGTAAGTACTCTATGTGGTCCATTCCAGGGGTTCCGTAGCTTCTTTGACTGCCCTCTGGGGGTGTAGGGGAGGTGGAGCCAGACAAAGTCTCCCGCCTTAAATGCCTGTCCGTGGGCTTGGCCATGGTGATGTTCCTTCTGTTTGACCTTTGCGACAGTATTTTTTGCTTTGGCACATGCATAGGCCTGCTGTAGGGACTGTGTCAGGAGGCGAGCATACTCTGCTGGCGTCGATGACTCGGTTGGGCTTGAACCATAGACTAGATCAGCTGGCAGCCTGGCTTCACGGTCAAACATAAGAAAGAAAGGGGTGTACCCTGTTGAAGACTGCACACTCGTGTTGTAGGCCATTACAACTTTTTGCAGATGGTTTTCCCATATAGCTGGGTGGCTCTCCATTGTTGTGCTAGCATGTTTTGTAGTGTCCGGTTGAATCTTTCAACCAGGCCGTCGCTTTGAGGGTGGTATGCAATCGTTCTTGTCTTTTTTACCCCTAAGCATCTGCTACGAGATTGGATTCAAATTGCCTTCCCTGGTCACTGTGAAGGAATTCCGGTGGGGAGAATCGTAGGAAGAGATCGTCAACGAGTTTTGATGCTATTGTTTTAGCATCCTGGTCTGGAATTGGGAAGACTTCTGCCCATTTTGTCCATTGCGACAAGCACGTAGCGGTTCCCCTGTGGTGTTTGAGAGGTAATGGGCCAAGTATGTCGACGGCCACTGTGTGCATTGGCGATTCCACTTGAAATGGGTGGAGTGGTGCTCTCCTCCGTGGTCCCCCACTTTTCCTTGAGGCACAGGTAGCACAAGTCGCACAGTAGTCCCTCACATCCCGTCGAGATCCGGGCCAGAAGTAGCGACTCTGGACAGGGCTGAGCATTTTTTCTTCCCCAAGATCCCCACCGGTGGGGGTGTCGTGCAGCTCCCGGAGGACACTCTCACGAAATGTTGAGGGGACCACCAGCTGCAGGACAGTGGGATGGTCCTCCTTCTCGCCTCGTCTCCACAGTTTCCCATGTTTGAAAGTTAGCAGGTCCCATTGTTGAAGGAGCTGTCTACCTCTGTACAGAGCTTCGCTATGGCAGGTGTGTCCAGCCTCATTACATCTCGAACAGCAGCAAACACTGGGCCAACGACCTTGTCACTCCGTTGTGCTCCTGGTGTGATAGGTGTTATGTCGCCGAGAAGAGACACAGGAGCTATCGCAGTGGAGCCGTCAGTGTCTGGATCCATGGGACTCTGTAGAGTGTGGGTTGTATGGGAGGTACACGATGGATGTCTCGAGAGGGTGTCCGTCATTTCCATGAGACTTTCCCTGCCGATGGATGACAGTGACGTCAAACTCCTGTAGTGTTGTTATCCATCGAGCGAGCTGACCATCTGGTTCTTTGAAGTTATGAAGC